TGGGCATGGTGGTGTGTGCCTATAATCTCGGCTCTTGGGAGGCTATAAACAGGCAGATCACTACAAGTCGGACCTAGTAGTGAGACCCTGAACACCCTGTAGACCCTTCCCTAAAATATAAAAACAAACAAAACAAAACAAAACAAAAGCAGCTACCATTTTTTCCTTTGGTGGGAATTTGTGAAAAATGTTCAAAATAGGATGAATAAGTTCTGTAGCACAGTAGAGCAACTATAGTATACAACAACTCATTGTATAGAGAACTAGAGAGAAACTTGTGTGCTCCAATCCCAGAGAAATGGTAATTGTTTAAGAGATGAGAATGCTAATTGCCTTGATTTGATTATTACATATTGTATACACATAGTGAATTATCACATTGTAACCCACAAATAATTATGTATTAATTAAAAATAAAATAACTGTTGAAAAATGTCTAAAAACATTATCCCATGATTTCAGGTCACCTTTAGCTATTATTTGATTTGTCATCTGTAGGGGTTTTTACTCTCTAAATATTTATCAGCACCTTAAGAGGATGTTATCCACTATAAAAATAGATCCCAAAACTTGCACATCTAGGTCTTACATGCTTAGAACAGTATATGACTTGTAAAAGAACTACTCACAGAATTATAAATAAATATGGGACTTACTTGGCTCTTGTTTTACTGTGAAAAAGAAATCAAGTAAATAAATGAATGAGAGATTTCTGCATGAAGAACAAAATTATTTCTCTTAATTTTTTGTGACGGATTTTTGAAGTAGAACTTTGGGAGACTATTGAACTGCCTTTAGAGTCAGTCAACTACAGTGGAAGAATAAATTTCTTCAGATTACTCTGTTCAAGTGTCTCTCAATTTTGATGCCGTGGGAAGACAGAATGAGTGAAATAAGTGAGGGGAAATATTTTTCTCTTCTTGATTTTGCTCTACTTGTTCACCTAGGGATCAAGCCCAGGGCCTGTCCATGCAGGGGAAGAGCTCTACCCCTGAACCACATCCCCAGTCATTTTATTATACTACTTTCTTATTCCCCTCTCTCCCTTTAGTTCTTTGGAATATTGTGTTGATCAATCATGATCATTGCCTTATGACTTGACTGAAAATTATTTTTAAGGTTAATTTTAGAAAAGTTTCTCTTTTTCTTCCATAAGCATGAATTTGGATGCATAACCATATTTCTCTTCATTTCCTGGATGGGAGGCACTGCTTTATGGTAGAGTAATGTAGGTAGTTTTAGTATAGTTGTGAGCTCATGGGAAAAAATTACTTTACCATACAGTTCCCTTTTTTGTATATCAGGAGTAATACTTATTTTATGTAATGTACATGCACATGTAAAGCCTTGAGTACCGTGCTTGGCCCATTGGAAAGTATTTGATAAATATTTGTTATCATAGTACCACATCAAATACTAAGCAATTTTAAGTGTAGCTTCCAATTTTAATTATAGCAATTAATTGCCTTTGATAACTGAAAATGGAGCAAACTACTGATATATGAATAAAGAGATTGGGAGCTAGACAGTGAAGAATGCTGAAAAATTAGTAAACAAAAGAACACAAAGAGGCTGATCAAAATATATAGTGCAGGTAAAAAAATTATTACGGTGAAAGATAAATTGGCATTAATCTCCCTCAAAATAGTCCCCTTGTGCTTTGAACACACTTGTCCTATCAGTTTTGCAACTTTTTTTTTTGAAATGGGGTCTCACTATGCAGTTCAGGCTGGCCTTGAGCTCACTTTATAGCCCACGCTGGTCTCGAACTCACAATGATCCTCCTGCCTCAGCCTCCTGAGTGCTGGGATTATGGGTGTGCACTACCATGCCCAGTATTCTCCCAGCTTTTTGAAGTAGGTCTAGAAATCCTATCCTGGCTTTATGAGGTGTAATCAAAATTATAGTAATGCTGAATGAATGCTGCTGCCAAGTGCTATCCAATGGAGCATAAGGGTTGGAAAGACATTACGGTGTGTCCTCCTTCACCTTATTCAGTGGGTCTGGGACTGAGGGATTTCTGGCTGTTCCCCAACGTCTGAATGACAAAGATAAAGGTTTGAATTGATCGAGGACTTTGAGGCAGCTATGCAAGCATAACCAAAGACATTTACAAAAGATGAATTTAGAACTACTTTAGAACTGCTTCAGAGGGGCCGGGGAGATGGCTCAATAGAATAAGCACTTCCCTGGCAAGTGTAAGCCTGAGTTCGATCCCCGGTTCCACAAAAAAAAAAAAAAAAAAAAAAAAAAAGAACTGCTTCAGAAAGTGTCAAGAAGATAAATATTGGAATTGAGGGGGTGTATTTTGAGGATTGATGGCAATGTATCTTTTAATGTAATAATTTAAAAATATGTAAACATTTGTTGTATTTTGTAATCATACCTTGTGCAAATCTTCCTTTGTGGTACATTCATACTATAAACAGGATCCAAAAAGGACTATGTAGATATCATAAGAAATCAGTGGTAATGATAAAATTGAGAGAAACATGGAACTTACTTGTGGACTTCTCAGGTTTTGCTTCTAAAAAAAAAAAAAGACAAATTAGTGTGGTTATCAGATGAAGGAGAAATAGTTTTTCACTGATGTCATTTCCTGGGTGAGTGCACACTAAATGAGAAGAAGGGGGATTAAGCAGAGATTGCTTTGCTTCAGGAACATCACAGAAGAGAGTCCAGAGCCAGCGAAGGAGCTCATGCTTCCCTTGCCCTTTCTGAGTTAAATCAGAAAATATATTTTGTCTCAATCGCTTTCTTGGTCTGTTTTGTTTTTCTCTGCCAATCACCCACATTCTTGATCTCTACAGTCCTGATCATTGTTTCTTACTGGATTTGCCCAGATTGACACTTCCTTTTCAGAGAGCAAGTGCTATCTGAATCAGTGTTGGCTGAATCAATGAAGAAATTCTCTCTTTTTTTTTTAATATTTATTTATTTATTTATTTATTGTGTGTGTGTGTGGCCAGCTCAGCCCACCAGGGGGCGG